TATCTATCTATCTATCTATCTATCTATCTATCCATCTATCATCTATCATCTATCTATCTGAAATATCTTGAAATAAAGAATTAGAACACAGGTGTCCAATCTTGCTGGCTGGGGAATACTGGGAGTCGAAGTCCACAAGTCTTAAAGTTGCCAAGGCCGGACAACTTTGATTTAGAGGATGCTCTTAGCATGAATAAAAGCGAAGTCTTCATTTACTTTGATTTTAATAAAATGCATCGACGAGGGATTCTTTCTAAGTTCCTATAACAATCCTACGACTGATGGCTCCAGGCAGTGTGTAGATGAAGAGTACTAAGAAGATAACTAAGATAATTAGGATTAGGCCAATAATGATGTATTTCTTGTAATTTCTCCAGATCAGATAATACAAACACTTGAAAGGATTCACAAACCAGGAGAAGGATGTGTCGGGCCGGCTAGAAAGGGGAAGAAATGAAAAGAAGACTTAGTAATATTGCAAGAAACATGAATATGTATAAAAGTGAGTCATCATCTCACTCTTTAGCTGAAAGTTGTGTGTGTGTGTGTATGTGTGTGTGTGTGTACTAAACACCATATACACAGGGTATGCCAAAAGCCAGATCCCCCATAGACAATTTATTATATAAATCATATTAAATGCTCACATTGGTTGAAAGTTTCCTCTAAGCACTATCTTGCTGGTTTGATAAATGCGTTTTATTAAGTACGCTATATTTTTTCTGAAATATTAATTAATAAAATAAATTGTGATTGTGTATCTGTATCTGTGTGTGTATCTGTGTCTGTATGTGTATCAGTGGTGGGTTCCGGGAAGTATGGCCCGGTACGGATGTACTAGTGGCCGCTGGGAGCAGGGGCCACCGTACCGGAATGGTGGTTCATTGGGCCCACGCACGCCTCCGCGTTTCTTACCGCTTTTTGAGGGAAACAGGGCAATTGCGCACATGCGCACAGCATAGCTGGGGCATTGCAGGGCGGTGGCGTGTGCATGTGTGCACAGCGCACGTGCCCGAAGTGGATGTCCGTCCCCATCGCAGTGTACCGGTTACGACGGGATCAGGAACCCACCACTGATGTGTATGTGTATGTATGTCTGTATGTACCCAGCGATGGGTTTCACATTTTGTTACCACAAGTTCACACTGCGTGCATCTGCTCACTTCACGGGTGCATTCACCCCTTCCACTCATGCACATGGCCTTCTGTGCATGTGCTTTGTTTGCATGCGGGCCTTCCGCGCATCTCTCTCTCTCTCTCTCTCTCTCTCTCTCTCTCTCTCTCTCTTTCTGTATGTTTCTAGTTTAATGAAAAGAAGGAATAGAGGTGACATGATAGTAGTGTTCTGATATCTCAGGGGCTGCCACAAAGAAGAGGGGGAGTCAAACTATTCTCCAAGGCACCTGAGGGCAGGACAAGAAGCAATGG